TTCCTGCGAGGCCAGACATGCTGTCTTCCTCCAGCCCTTTCACCAACCATTTCTCCAAGCACCCATCACCTCTCTCCTGGGTTCAATAATTTGCTGCAGTGGCCATACAGAACTCACAGATTATGGGGTTTATTAGGGAAGCACGAGGTTACAATTCAAGTTCAGGAAAAATGCTCAGCCTCTCTCCCAGTCTACCATCTTTCAGCCAACAGTCTCTCACAGTCTCTCTCCCAGCAGTGTGTATCCCTTGGTGTCTTACTCAGCAATGCGTGTCTCTTGCATCTCTTTCCCCACAGTGTGTGTCTCTCAGGAGCCCCTGTCTCTTTCAGCAGCACGTCTTCGTCAGCCAGCAGTTAGAGAGAGTTCTGTCTCTAGGAGGCCTCCTTTTGAGCTTGGCAGAGTGGCCAAACCAACCAATCATAACATCAGAATTCTAAGCACATGAGAGGGAGTGGGACCTTCCCAGAACATTGTTCAGTCCCACTCCCAACAGAAATACCCCAGGTGGACAACTTTAGCAATCAGGAGCTCCTCAGTTGCTCATGGCAAATTCCACCTTGGAGTTTACAAAGACTTATGGGTACAAAAGCCACACTAAGTAATTTACTATACCACACATGTTAAATAACACTCCACCTATTGGCAAGAATTTACAAAAAACTTCTTAAAGCTTCAGAAAATGAATTATAAAAGTAAAGTGTTTATGCATGCCTACCTGCCTAAAAGCGATAATGAAGAGCTAGTATTGGATACAGAACCAAAGATCTTCCTTACTAACATGTGTTGTTGTTGTTGTTGTTGTTGTTGTTGTTGTTATGTGCCGTCGAGTGGGAACCAACTCATAGCGACCCCTCCTTGGGTTTCCGAGTCAGTATAACTACAGAAATAGATTGCCCAACCTTCCTTCCGATGAGTGTCTGGTGGGTTTGAACTGCCAGCCTTCTGGTTAGAAGTCAAGCACTAATATAAGGAAAAAAAAAAAACAATTAGAGGTGTTCTAAAAACAACTAATGAACCAATCAACCAATCAATCAGCAATTAAAGAAAAACAAACCAGGCCCTACCCAAAAACAAAACGAAACAAAAACTCCTTAAAAAGATATAAAGATATATCTGAGAAAAATTTCTAGAGAAACCGGGACAAAATTACATAAAATGTTTTTTTTTTTTGTATCCTTAAAAGGATTTTGTTAAAAAATATGTTGTATGGAACAGAGTAAATATAAAAATGGAAGAGGGACTGGGTAATAAGATTACTTGAAAAGGAAGACAATTAAAATAAAGAAGTAGTTCTGGAATATATAAATGCAATGGAAGAATAACAGTCATCCTAGAGGCAGGATAAAGATAAGAGATAAAGATAACGATAAAGGAACAATAAAGAGAAGAAGAAAAACAAGGGCAATACAATTATGTATGCTGTTATAACAAAGAGGATATGGACAAAGTACTATGTCAGCAAATTTTCAGAAAGAAATTACAATATTGCCAGGTTTAAATTTTTTTATGAAAAAAATACACAAGGCAATATGGTGAAGTCACAAATTAGGAGAGAAGATTCTGAAAATGACAAATTTTATTATTAATTTGTATTTTCTTTAAAAAAAATAAAAAGTCACTGCCATCAATTTGATTCTGAGTCCTAACAACCCTACAAAACATAGTGGGACTGCCCTATAGTTTCCAAAGATGTATATCTTTATGGAATAAGACTGCCTTATCTTTCACCTGCAGAGTGGCTGGTGGATTTGAACAGCCACCCTTGTGCTTAGCAGCCCAATACTTTTACCAAAGTGCCACCAGAGCTCCTATTATTCTTGTTCTAGGGAACAGAAAATAAAAGTTTCCCGCTTAATTGTGCTCATGGTATAGACCAAATATCTGCATTTCTTGAAAAAAAAAAAAAAAAATATATATATATATCTCTATATAGGACTTTTCTTAACCAAGCAAGAGGTGAATCAAAATAAACAACTAAATATGGAGATGAAAAAAAAAAAAAGCACTGACACCGAGTTGATTCCAGCTCATAGCAGCCCCCATCAGATTTCCAAGGCAAAAATCTCTATGTAAATACATCGCCCTATCTGCATTCCGTTGGGCCAACTCGATGGCAAACAACAACAACACAACAAATCTGCATTCCATGGAGCAGCAGGTGGGTTTGATCCACTGAGCTTCAGGTTAAAAGTCAAATGCCAAACATCTTCTTCCCTTTTGTTTTTCTATACCCAGGTCTGTGTACATTTCATTACAATATTTCACTTTATCTTCTCAAGCTCCCCTTTAAAATCTGTTTACATCTTTTAGTTGGTCATTTCTTCCATTCATTTCAACTACTTTCCTTTAAAGAGCAAGTTTCAGAGTCTCTTCTGACATCTGTTTTGGTCTTATATTCCTTCCCAATCTTTTTAATGATCTTTTGATTTCTTCATGTGTGATGTTCTTGACCACACAACTGGTGTGGTCTTTGCTCACCGGTGTTCAATGCATCAAATCTATTTTCTGTCAGTTTGTTGTACTGTGATGGCTAATGAGATGCTATGTCACTGGCATTTCAAATACCAGAAAGGGACTCATGATGAACAGTTTTCAGCAGAGCTTCCATACACAGACAGTCTATAAAGAATGACATAGCCAGGTTTACTTTTGAAAAGAAAAATAAAATTACCTAGAGATAACCTTATGTATAGAGGAAATCATTGTCTAATATACTGCTGGAAGATGAGCCCCTTAGTTTGGAAGGTAGTCAAAATGCAACTGGGGAACAGGTGCCTCCAACCTTAATCATGTGGTTGGAGTAAGGTTTCTGGACCTTCAATTGCTGTCGTGGCATTATTGAAAATGAGAAGAAGCAGCTGTAAAATCCATTCATAATCGGAAGGTTAAATGTACGAAGTATGAATCTAGGAAAATTGGAAGTTGTAAAAAATGAAACGGAATCCATTACCATCCATAACCTAGGCATTAGTGAGCTGAACTGAACTGGGTTTAGCCATTTTGAATCAGATAATCATATGGTTGACTTTGAAAAGGATTGCTGTCATATCCATCAAAAAGAATTTTTCAAGATCTATCTTAAAGTACAATGCTGTCAGTGATAGGATAATATCCATACACCTACAAGGAAGACCAGTTAATGTCAATATTATTCACATTTACACACCAATTACTAAAACCAAAGATAAAGAAATTGAAGACTTTTTCCAACTTCTGTAGTCTAAAATTGACCAAACATGAAACTGATATGTGTTAATAAGTCCTGTTGATTGGAATGTGGAAGTTGGAAAAAAGGGAGAAGCATCGGTAGTTGGAAAATATGGCCTTGGTGATAGAAATGACACTGGAGATCACATGATGGAATTCTGCATGACCAACGTTATTCTTTGCAAATACATTTTTTAAACATGAACTTAGACAGTTCACATGGATCTCCCCAGAATTGTGTCAATGGCAGTGAGAGTTTAAAGATGAAACTTGTAAGAAGGTTTTAAGATTAAAGCTGTAAATACACCAGGGGCTACATCATTTCAATTTTCAAATGTCTCCAAAAGTTGAAAACACATATTATCTTCTGTATCATTTCAGATGAATGAATTTCTGTTGTGGACTGTGGGAAGGAACTCTAGTCACATAGTGGATAAGGCATTTTTCTGCTAACCAGAAGGTCAGTGGTTCAAGTCTATCAACCATTCCACAGAAGGAAGATGGGCAATTCACTTCCGTAAAGATTTAAAGCCTTAGAAATCCAATGGTGGTTACTCTGAGTAGGAAAGGACTCGATGGCAGTGAGTTTGGTCTCTGATTTGTGTACTCTGAACTCACCTCAACCCCGCAGAAAATCAGAAACATGTTACTGAATGTGTATTCTTGGGTTTGTAGGAATATAAGCAAATATAGCTACTGTTTCTCATCTTGCTACTGCTCTACTACTTGGAAGCCTTAATGGGGAAATTTATCCTTACAATCACTTGCAACCATCTAATTGAACCTTCAATGAACTAGTTTATCTGCCACCTCTCCCTCATAAACCTCTGCTACACCTCGACTCTGGTCCCCTGGCTGTTCAGATACTCAGATGCAGAGAGGAAAATATTTCCTGTAACAACTATAGGTACCAGCTCTTTACTGCCCACTTAGTGCAGGGTGTGGAAATATCCATCTTTGTGTCCATGGCATTTATCTTCTATGTTGTCATGATCAAGTAGGGCATTACTTGGACATCATGAACCATCACAGGTGCAACTTGCTGATCATAGTGGCCCAAGTCATAGGTTTTGGGCATTCTGTCGCTCTACTGTTCGTGATACTCATTCTACCATTCTATATTGTTGTTATGTGACGTTGAGTCAGCCCAGACTCATAGCGAACCCTCCTTGGGTTGCCAAGGCGGTATCACTATGGAAGTAGATTGCCCAACCTTCCTTCTGGAGGAGTGGCTGGTGCGTTTGAAACGTCAGCCTTCTGGTTAGCAGTCAAGTGCCTTAGGCACTATGCTACCAGAGCTCCTTCAGTCCTATTTATATAGATTATTACATATGTGATGTGAAGCTTCTTTTTAAAATGATCTGCAAAAGTAAACATGCTTCTAATATTTTGGTTATTGACAATTCAGGGATGGTAGTAGATGTGTTTTTATTATTTGTGTGGTTCTAGTGATTTATTTCATGCTTGTATTGAACAAACATAGGATGCATTTCTTTGCAGGACCACACAAAGCTCCATTAGTCAGCAGTCCTCACATGATAGTCATAGTTTTATTTTTCATGTCTTATATCTATACTTATGTCCTTCCAGGTGAAAGTGAGCACAAGGAAAAAGAAATATCTGTATTTTACTCTGTGATTGTACCTATGTTAAATCAGCTCACTTATACTTTGAGAAACGTGGAAATGAAAATTGCCATTTGGATGATATGGTCATGAATAGCAGATTCAGAAATAATATATATATAGTCATCATATATTTATTATCATATATTTCATCATCATTTCATCATTTCATTTGATATCTGATGTAATTTTGAGAATCCATAATTTTCTCATAGCAGTTTTCATTTCTGCATTCCTTAGTGTATAGATGATTGGGTTGAGAAATGGTGTCCCAATTGTATAAAAAATTGCCACCATCTTGTCCATGGGGAGGGTGGTTGGTGGGCGTGTATATATGAATACAGATGGACCAAAGAATAAGATGACAACAGTGATGTGAGAGGTGCAAGTGGAAAGGGCTTTTTTCCTGCCTTCTGCACTATGGTTTCTTAGTGAACGCAAGGTAACAAAGTATGAGATCATTAAAAGCACAAAACCACTCAGGCAAATAACCCCACTATTGAACACCAACTGTAGATTTATCACATAAGTATCTGTACAGGCAAGTTTCAATAAGGGTTGCAAATCACAGCAATAATGATCAATCAAATTGGATCCACAGAAGGGCAGTTGCAATGTCAGGACAATCTGAGTTATAGAATGTGTAAAAGACCCGGTCCAGGCTAGAATAATCAAGATGATGCAGACCTGTCGTCTCATAATGGTCACGTAATGCAAGGGCTTACAGATGGCCACATACCTATCAACAGCCATGAGGATGAGGACAAACACTTCCATCGACCCAAATAAATGCAATACAAAGACTTGCAGCATGCACTCACTGTAAGATATGACTTTCTTTGCAGAGAGTGCATCCACAATTAATCTAGGGGCTATGGAAGTTGAAAAGCAGGTATCAGCAAAGGACAAATAAAATAGAAAGAAGTACATGGGACTCCCAAGAGCACGGCTGAACTTGATGGTCACAATAATGAGCAAATTTCCCACCAGAGCTCCAGTGTAGAAAATTAAGACCAATACGAACACCACTATCTGCTGCATAGGCTCCTGCGTCAGTCCTGAGAATATGAACTCAGTTACACTCTGGTTTTGCTGCATTGTATCACGCGGGGAAAGCACAGGTTCAAAATAGTTAATCTGCAAGGAGAAAAGCAGTTATTTTATGAGATGAATACTTCATTTGGAGCTCAAATACCTTTGTCTGACCTTGAAACTTCTTTTCCACTGGGCAAAAATTTAGTTTTCTGTATTTTTAATGAATAAAGTGAAATTTCTAATACTTATCTATTTACCTTCTTGCTTACATGGTTGTAGTTCAAAGATAATTAAGGGGAAAAAAAAAGTAAGTGGCTTTTGAACCATAAAAGATATTATTATTAAGGATTTGGCATGAGCGGATAATTTCCTCAGGTAAATGTTTGTCCAGTTTTCAGAAAGCATCTATCAACATTAAAAGTAATGTGGTAGAGAATAGAGAAAAAATTTGTGTAATTTATTTCAAACTGCTTTCCTAATTTTGAACTTGTTAAACCAAAAAAAAAAAAAAAAAAGAAAGAAAACACTGCCATTGAATCAATTCCAACTCACAGTGACCCCCATTGGGTTCCCTAGGCAGTAAATCTTTATGGAAGTAGATTGCCCTATCTTCCTTCCATGGAATGGCTGGTGGGTTTGAATTGCCAACCTTCTGGTTAGCAGTCAAATGCCGTAGGCTCTACACCACCAGATCTCCTTTTGAACTTGTTAATTCAGTTATAAAATTTTATTTATCATGCCATTTTGTGAAAAGTTATATTCTTCTCCTTAATCATTATTTTCTTTGTTATTTTAATATAATTTCTTAAACAAAACAGGAAGACTGAGGCTATAATTAAGGAAAAGGAGAGGGGGAACATTAGCTGTATATCAGAACATTCTTTTAAATTTCCAGTTTATAGCTTACACAGTAAGGATGTAGAAAAAAACCTCAGGAAGTTCCAAGCCATAAAAGAAGCTTTTTAAGTAATTATTTTCAGGCACATTTTTTATTGTTATATATAATGACTTGAAGTAAGAGAAGTAGCAATAAAAAGGAAATTACCATTTATTTATATCTAATTCTATCCTAAGTATATTCCTGACCCTGGTATCATCAAAAAGCCCTTATATACAAGTGAAAACTGGATGAAAATGTAAGATAGGCTAAAGAAGAATTGGTGCCCTTGAATTATGATGCTGATGAAGAATATTAATATATTATGGGCTATCAGAAGAATGAACAGATCTTTCCTGGAAAAAAGTACAGCCAGAATGCATCCTAGAAGTGAGGATAATGGGACTTTGTCTCACTTACTTTGGACATGGAAAAGGAGGAACCATTCTCAGGAGAGAACACCATTCCTGGTAAAGTAGAGGTCACTAAAACAAGGAAGATCCTCAATGGGATGGAATGACAGAGCCACCACAACAATGGGCTTCATAATACCAATGACTGAGAGGAAGGCACAGGAATGGGCAATATTCTGTTCTGCTGTCAAAAGGCCTGCTGTGAGGCGAACTCAATTTGGGAGCACCTAACAACAGGAACAATGACAAAATATGCCAGAAACCAAACAAAGTTTTATGGACATTGCCAGATTTATTTCCAAAATTGTAGTATAGCCCAAAGAAAAATAATTTCCAAACTAGTGAAATATATTTGTAGGATGTACAGCAGGTATAATTTTTCCAAATAAATATATTCTACCACTCCATCTTTAAAAAGATTCATGACAAATGAGTAACAAGCAAATGAACAAATTGTCAGAAATCTTTTCCTTTTGCAAAGAATTAGACAAAGAAGTTAATATTTATTACTGTTAAAGACATGTTAATTAAAATTTCAATTAAATATGTATACACACACACACACACACACACTGTCATTGAGTTGGATCCAACTCATAGAGACCCCTTCTTGGGTTTCTGAGGTGGTATCACTACAGAAGTAAATAGCCCAAACTTCCTTCCAAGGAGTGGCTGGTGAGTTTGAACCACCAGCCTTCTGGTTAGCAGTCAAATGCCTTAGACTTCCATATAGATGTTGAAAAAGTCCCCTTAAGAGATTGCACTCACTGACTTACATGCCTACCAAAAATGTATGGATTTGATGGTTTTCCCATTTGCCAGTACTATATGTAAACAAACATCTATCCAAAAAACAACTGTACTAATCTGATAAGTAATGTGTGTGTGTATATATATATATATATATATATATATATATGTAAGTTCTGGTAGTGTAGTGCCTAAAGCACTTGACTGGTAACCAGAAGGCTGGCGGTTCAAACCCACCAGCCACTCCTCAGAAGGAAGGTTGGGCAATCTATTTCCGTAGTGATACCCTCAGAAACCCAAAGAGTCACTATGAGTTGGGTCCTACTAGACGGCACAGAACATATATATATATATATGTGTGTGTGTGTGTGTGTGTATGTGTTTGTGTGTGTATCTGTGTATATATGTACACACACACACACATATGTAACTTGTCAGATTAGTACAGTGATTTTTTGCTTAGATGTTTATTAATGTGGTTGTTGTTGTTAGTTGCCTTTGAGTCGTATCTGACTCCTAGCGACACCTCTTTGGGTTTCTGAGGCGGTATCACTATGGAAGTAGATTGCCCAATCTTCCTTCTGAGGAGTGGCTGGTGGGTTTGAACCGCCAGCCTTCTGGCTAAGAGTCAAGTGCCTTAGGCCCTACGCTTAACATACAGTGCTGGCAAATGTGGAAAACCATCAAATTCATATATTTTTGATAGCCATGTAAGTGAGTGCAATCTCTTAAGGGGTGTTTTTCAACATCTATAATTTTAGTGTTGCATCTGCTACTGAGTCAAATTCTGTAGAACCACACATGTACAATGACGATCACTGTGGCCCTTTCCATGGTATGGAAGGTAAGAAAAAAAGGTCCATCTGCAGGTCACTGAATAAGTCAGGCATAGTGCTTTTGTACAATCATTAATAAAAACAAAGCAGATACATTTTTAACATATATTGTAAAGTAAAGCATCAGAGGACAGAACATATGCTTAGAATGATAGCATTTCCACTAAAGTCAGGAAAATATACATTCCACATACAAACTTTTATATAAATGAATTGTGTTTAGTAAGGTGGAAAGAAAATCATGGTATTTGTAGTCAGGCTCTGGAGAAAGAAATTGTATTCTAGGCATGAGAGGTGGAGGAAAAGCTGCTTTTAGAGATGTGATTATTGGTAATATTTGAAAATATGTCTTCAGCGTGGTTTGCAAAATAATAAATATTTAAAAAATCTTATCATAGGAGCTAATCTGATCAACTTATTTACACTGGCATACCGTTGAGCCCTCAAACTCTCTTCTCATGTAGGCAGGAGGGAGCACTTTATTCTTGTTGTTGTTGTTATGTGCTGTCGAGTTGGACCCGACTCATAGCGACCCCTCCTTAGGTTGCCGAGGCAGTATCACTATGGATGTAGATTGCCCCATCTTCCTTCCGAGGAGTGGCTGGTGGGTTTGAACTGCCAGCCTTCTTGTTAGCAGTCAAGTGTCTTAGGCACTACGCTACCAAAGCTCCTACAATATTCTTTGGGAAACACTAAATTCCAGGAGTTTGAGGAAGACAGTGAGTCAGTTATGGTGGCAGCTGTGAAGTGCAATGCTCTTTAACCACCCCATATATCAGCATATAGCCAAGGAACCCAAGGCTCACTTGCATTCTGTGAAATTTTCCAAACACACTCTGTTTTCAAACATTTCAGCACAGAGAATTAAAATTTGTTTGCAGTTTGTATAAGCTAGGTAATATACATGTGTATGTATGCCTGTGTCTTACTGTATATATATGTTATATATATAATAGAATATGTGTATGTCTATCTGTGCATACACTTACTCACACCCACATATATGTCTTGTTGTTGTGTAACTTCAAGCAGTTTCTGACTCATAAGCCAACTGGCATTGAGTCAATTTTGACTCATAGTAACACTATAGGACAGAATAGAAGTGTCCCCTTGGGTTTCCTAGGCTGTAATGTTTATGGGAAAAAATAACTAACAGGGTGTTTTCTACCATAAAGCAGCTGGGTAGGATCAAACTGCAAACCTTTCATTCAGCAAACACTTAATCATGTACCACCAGAGCTCCTTATGTGTGTATGTGTGTATATATATATATATGTGTGTGTGTGTGTGTGTGTATGTAGGAGCACTACTGGTGGCATAGTGGATAAGGTGATAAGGTATTCGACTGCTAACAGGAAGGTCAGTGGTTCAAACCCACCATGGAAGGAAGACGAGGTGGTCTACTTCTGTAAAGATTTACAGCCTCAGAAATCCAATGAGGGTCACTATGAGTCAAAAATGACTCATGGCAATGAGCTTTTTTTTTTTTTTTTCTAAGCATATATGTGTGTGTGTGTGTGTTTATACATATATATACATGTGTATGTTTGTGTGTGCATTTATATGTATCCACGGGTGGTACAAAGGGCTAAGTGTTTGTCTACTATCTGAAGCCCTGGTGGGTGGAACCCATTCAGAGGCACCTGAGAAGACAGAAGACACCTCCTGCAAGGACACAGACTTGAAAATCTTATAGAGACTGTTATACACTGTACTCATGGAGTCACCATGAATGAACCCAATGGCAACCAGCAACAACAGCATATAAATACACACACAGCCACACAAACACATACACACATGCACAGACACACACATAGTGCATAACTCAAATAATTGATATACATTAGAATAATATATAACATGAATGGCATTTATTAAAGCAAAGCAACATAAGATTAGAAATTTTTGTCTACTCAGCTGAATCTCAACATGGAAAGGAAGTAGGTGCCTTATAAATATTTATTAAATGAGGAAAAGAATTAAAGAGTATTTACAATTGTGTATGGTCCCACCTGATTTTGTACCCAGTTGTCTTGAGGAGATGTAAAGCCTGTAGCCTACTCTAACTATAGCAAAATCATCACCTTCGTGAAGCTTTTCTGGAAATCTCAAACAGAAGATATTTTTGTTTTCTTATCTTCATCACGCCCTTCTACCAAAAATACCCTTTATCTTGTAGTGCTC